CAATTATTTAAAAATTTGTTAATAAGATTCTTTATGGGAATTGAATTTTAAGAAACGTTTGATTATTTAATAAATTATTTATTTGCCTTTTTGCATTTAAATTTGTATTTTAATAATTGAATTCTAGTAGAATTTTCAAATAAAAATTGAATTTCATTTCATAAAAATGAATTTCAGTTAAAATTTTAGATAATAATTGAAATTTAACAGCAATATAGCGTGAATTTTAAAAAATAATTGAATTTTGTAATTAATTTTTTTGAAAAAGATTAATTGCGTTTTTTTAAATATTATTTTTAGTTTCTATTTTTCTAGTATTTATTTAATTAAAGAATTTACCAATAATTGAAATTTCGTAAAATTGAATATTGTAAAGAAATGGATTTCAAAATTGTCAAAGAACTTTTTAGAAAATTATTAAAAATAATCGAAGAATTTTAGTTAAAACTTCTTGTAAATAATAATTGAATAATTGATAATAATTTTAATTATTATAAATTATTTTTATTAATAATTATTATTCATGTTTTATATTTATTTGATTTATTCATGTTTTATGAAAAATTGAATTTCTAGTTTTAAGTAAAATGTTCTTTTATTTGACTCGAACTTATATCTTTTGTCAGTAATTGGTCCGTAATTTTTTATTTTTAGTCCGTAATGTCCGTAGTTTTAAATACTTTCACTGATTCGAGCCCCAGTGGAGAAAAGTTCTACTTTCGCCACGCTTTTTTAAACAAGAAAAGTACTCCTTTCAGAGCAGAGGCAGAAAATATTTCTTTTTTCGAAAATACAAGAAACTTTCAATTATTTTGCAAATAGAAGAAAAAACTTTGGACTTGATTGAAATTGAATGGAGAGAAACAAAAGTAAAGAGAGATTGATTTTAGTGAAGAGACTTTTGGATGGATAGTGAAATATCTTTCAGTGTAGAGTGATAAACCAGTTTAGTTGTAATAGCATGATAAATTTTGTTATTTTTGCATGACTTTTTTTTCTCTCTCTCTCTTTCTCTCTATTTTTCGTTTCTTCTTATACGAGGATAGATGTACATATAAATTCCCCAACTGGGTTACCATATTATGGCTACGATATACTTTGGCGCCCACCGGAATCGAACAACTACGACACGCTTGACCCTCCCTTATAATCTCGGTTAGCGCGACACACTCTCTTTCATATTCCTTCTCTCTCTCTCTCTCTCTCCCCCATGGACTTTGAATCGGTCAAAGGACGTCACGCCTGGCGAACCCCGACGAGAATATCAGAATGCGCGCTCTCGAGTATCTACGTCACCACGGGATACGTCAGTGTAGAGACCGTCCTTGACCAATGAAAAAAGACTAACCAGACTCAATTCTAGACTCCAAAACAAAGTCAAAAGAGGGAAAATGGAATCAAGAGAGAGAAAGCATTTCACACATATATAATAGATTAATAATGTAAAGAATCGTTGGTAACATTACTATACACACCGAGAGGAAACTATTTCTTGATTCAATTATCTTATTTATTCTGGCACACTGCCAAACATTTTTCACAAATTCAATGAAAATAACAGATATTTTATTGAAATTTATTTATAGAATTCTCTTTCACTCGAGATTAAGAATAACATTTTTTTTTTGCAAAAAAAAATTATTTTACTTCTTTTATGTCAGAAATTTGATCTTAGGTATATAGAAACTCTTTCTACAGGGTTGCAAAAAAAATTTTAATTTTGTTTTTCCCTAATTTCCAGACTTTTTCCTGACTGATTTTCACTTTTTCCCTGACCCAAAAGAATATTCCTGATTTACTCTAAAAATTATTGGATACTCAAAAAAAAATGTTCTATTACATTTATTTATGAATTTCTTGAATTGTAAAATTATTCGAAAACAATAATTTCAATATTAGAAATATTTAATTTTAAAAAATTTTTTTTATAGGAATTAAGATTTTTAAAAATTTTTAATTTAAACCATTTTGAAATTAAACAACTTTAAAGATATTGTTATATAAAACACGAAGAAACCGACCACTCGAAGTGATCGCTTTCTTCGTGTTTTATGATAAATTTAAGATGACAGAATAATAAAATCATTATTTCATATCATAATAAAGAATATTGTAATTATAAATTCAAATTTTTAAAGATTATTATTTTTAACCTTTTTCAAAATTAAATTATTTCTAAAAATTCACGCTATAATGCTTTTAATATTCAATTATCTGAAATTTTAACTGAAATTTATTTTTAAATCAATTTTTATTAAAAAATTCAACGAGAATTCAATTATTTAAATGCAACAATAAATAAATTATTAAATAATTGAATATTTCTTAAAATTAAATTTTTATAAAGAAATTTTTTTTAAATTATTATTATTTAAATTATTATTTAAATACAAAAATAAATAATTTATTCAATAATTGGATATTTCTTAAAATTGAATTTTTATATGAAGAATTTTATCAAAATTTTTTTAAATAATTGAATTCTTTTGACGAATTTTAATAAAATTTTCAAGAATAATTACATTTTTCTATCATTTTATTTAAAATTGTATAAAAAATAATTTAATTCTTGCAACGAATTTTATTAAAAATTTTTTTGAATAATAATTGAATTTCTCAGAATTTTTTAAAACTTTAAAAAAAAAAATTAAATTGCATTGAGAAATTTCATTAAAAAATTGAAAATACTTGAAATCTGACGAAGAATTAAAAAAAAATTCTTTTTTAAATAATTGAATTCCTGTGAAAATGTTTATTTTTGAAAAAACTTAAATTCTTGGGAAGAATTTTATTAAAATTTCTTAAATAATTGAATTGCCTCGAAGAATTTTATTTTTTATGAAAATAATTGAATTGTTTCGAAGATTTTTCCAAACAATTTTGACAATAATTGTATTCCAAGCAAGTATATTTTACAAAAATAATTGTATTCTGTGATCCACTTTATTGTAATTTTTAAAATATTTATAAAACATTTTATTAAAACTTTGTAAAATAATTGAATCTTCGAGAAAAATTTTATTATTTACGAAAATAATTGTTTTTTTGCGAAGAATTTTATTCATATTTTTTTTTAAAAATTTAATTCCCATTAAAAAAATGTATTATTTGTTAAAATCATTGAATTATTTTGACGAATTTTAATAAAATTTTCAAGAATAATTACATTTTTCTATCATTTTGTTTAAAATTGTATAAAAAGTAATTTAAATTCTACGATAAGCTTCTGTTATTTATAAAAATAATTGAATTCTTGCAACGAATTTTATTAAAATTTTTTTTTGAATAATAATTGAATTTCTCCGAATTTTTTAAAACTTTTTCAAAAAAAAAAAATTAAATTCCATTGAGAAATTTCATTAAAAAATTGAAAATACTTGAAATCTGACGAACAATTTTATTAAAATTTCTTAAATAATTGAATTGCTTCGAAGAATTTTATTTTTTATGAAAATAATTGAATTGTTTCGAAGATTTTGATAAAAAATTTTGACAATAATTGTATTCCAAGGAAGAATGTGATATTTTACGAAAATAATATTGTATTCTATGATCAACTTTATTATAATTTTTAAAATATTTATAAAGCATTTTATCAAAACTTGGTAAAATAATTGAATTTTCGAGGAAAATTTTATTATTTATGAAAATAATTGATTTCTTGCGAAGAATTTTATTCAAATTTTTTAAAATAATTTAATTTCCATAAAAAAATGTATTATTTGTTAAAATAATTGAATTTTTAAGAAGAATTTTATGGAAAATTTTATTAACTAAATCTTGTAAAGAATTTTGTCAAAATTTTTTTAAATAATAGAATTTTTAACAGAATTTTACTTAAATTTTTCGAAATAATTGAATTTTTCAGAACTATTTTTTTTCAATTTTCTAAATATATTTGAATTTGTTCGAGAAATTTCATTAAAAAATTAAAAATAGTTGAATTGGTTTGAAGAAATTTATAAAGAAAAAATTGTTAAGTAATTGAATTCTTGTGGTATTTTTATTAAAATTTTGTTTAAATAATTGAATTCTTTTGGAAAGTGTTATTAAAATAGTAGATATTTAAAATAATTCAAATAATTTCTAAGTACATAATAATTTTATGATAGTTCTTGAAGAATTAAGTGGTTTAAAAATAAATTATTCTCAGAAATAGAAGAAATTGATGGTTTGGTATTAGAATTCTTGAAAATTTCATAGTTTATGAGGCAACTAAAAAAGACTCTAAAATTTAGAGTTTTCCTGTAAACTTTAAAAAGAGATATATTTGGAAATTATTATAAATAATTATTTTGAAATTTCCTTTCCTCATGCAAAAATTTACTTTCGCCACTCTCTTCAGAGGAGTTGAGAAAAGTTCGACTTTCGCCACGCTTTCTTAATATGAAAAGTACTTTCTAGAAAAAAATTAAAGACGATAAAAATATCGTAAAGGGAAATGAATAAAAAATTGAAATCCGTTTTTCTTAATTGACGAACTTTCTTAATTTTTATTATAAATAATTATAGAATTACGAATATTGCCGAACATCTTGAGATTCAATGTGCATGCTGCTCTCCACCTGCGAACGCCAAGGTCACCGCTAGATGGCACTTTCGTTCCTTCTTGGAATTTCTCTAGCCACCTGGTGGTGACCTTGGCGTTCTCAAGTAAAGAAATTAAACCACCATTTTATCTCTCAAAAATTTTTTTGATAACAGTTGAGACAAAAAACGAATCGAAACTTTTGATTCGTTTTTTGTCTCAATTTGACATCCTTAAGAAAACTGTGTAATAATAAAATACAAAAATACGTCATTGTGAGAATAATTTAAATTGCATCTCAGGAAAGAATAAATTATTGTCTCAACTCTGAATAGAGTGTTAAAAAGCACAGAAGGAAAAAAATAAATCGAAAGAAAATTATTATAAAACATGAAAAAAATTTTTGTTCTATATTTATTTGAAAAAAATAATTTTATGCTTCAAAATTTGATAAGTACAAAAAAATACGTACTTCTGGATGTTAATATTTGGCCCATTCAATATCATCCTTATTATAGAGTTTAAATAATTCGAGTTTATTTCCTGTCTTGCAACCGTCGTCACAATTGCAACCAAACATATTGCATGGTCCATTGCCACAATATGAGCTATCTCCTAATGGTCTTCCATCATTACATAGAGAAATTTGACAACTTCTAGCATCAGTTGTTATACGACCCCAATTTCCAAGTCTCGCTTTATTTGACGCTCCGTAAAAATCATTACAAGTTTTCACACGTGCTTTAAAAATTATTGTCGAAGCTCTACAACATTCGGCACGACTCATTTTTAAATTTAATGTAATTGTCACTGATACAATAAATAGAAAGGTGAATTTAAACATATTTTGTTTGTATAATTTTGCACGTGGTGTATTTTTAATTTTTCAAATTGTAGTATTTTTTTATTTTCAAATATTGTATTTTTCGTATTTTCAAATATTGTATTTTTCTATTCTTCGGTTCTTCTGTTTTTTCAAATATTGTGTTTTTAAGATTTCAGATATTGTATTTTTAATTTTTGAAATGTATTTTAAATTTCTAAACTTGACGGTACTTTTTTATTACTGAAACACTTTTTCCTTATTTGCTTTTTTATTTTCATTTACATTTTTATTTTCATATAGATACTTTTGTTGGTAAAATTGATAAACTAACGCTGGTAATACACGACTCGGCAGTAAATTTTTGTTATAAAAATTAAAAATTAAACGAAGATTGGCATAAAAGAAAGAAAAAAATATTTAATGCACGTGTTAGCAAATATCAACGAAACTAAAGTATTAAAAAATGTTTATTTTCAATAAAAATATAAAATCAGTCAGATTTCATTGATTGCAGCTCGAATTTTTATTTCTTGAAGTTTTTGTTTCCTTATTTGTTTGAACTAAATAAAATTGTTTTGGACCAAATAACATTAATTTGAACCAAATAAAATATATTTAAATCGAATAAACTTTATTCGGACCAAATAAAATTAATTTCAACCAAATAAAATGCATTCAATCCGAATAAAATTGATTCGGACCAAATAAAATTAATATGAAACAAATAAAATATATTTGAACCAAATAAAATCGATTCGCACCAAATAAAATGATTTCGGACCAAATAAAATTAATTTGAACCAAATAAACTTGATTCGGACCAAATAAAAATAATTTGAACCAAATAAAATTGTTTTGGACCAAATAAAATTAATATGAACCAAATAAAATACATTTGAACCAAATAAACTTGATTCGGACCAAATAAAAATAATTTGAACCGAATAGAATTATTTTGGACCAAATAAAATACATTTAAATCAAATAAAATTGATTCGGACAAAATAAAACTAATTTAAACCACATAAAATTGTTTTGAATGAAATAAAATTAATTCAGACCAAAAAAAAATAATTTTAACCACATAAAATGGTTTTGAACCAAATAAAATACATTCAAACCAAATACATTTGATTCGGACCAAATAAAATTGTTTTGGACCAAATAAAATTAATTTGAACCAAATAAAATACATTTAAACAAAAAATAAACTTGATTCGGACCAAATAAAATTAATTTGAACCAAATATAATTTTTTTCGACCAAATAAAGTTAATTTGAACCAACTAAAATTAATTCGGACCAAATAAAATTAATTTGAACCAAATAAAATATATTTGAACCAAATAAAGTTAATTCGGACCAAATAAAATTATTTGATCCACATAAAAATGTTTTGGACCAAATAAAATTAATTTGAACCAAATAAAATACATTCAAATGAAATAAACTTGATTTGGACAAAATAAAACTAATTTAAACCACATAAAATTGTTTTGGACCAAATAAAATACATTCGAATCAAATAAACTTGATTCGGATCAAATAAAGTTAATTCGGACCAAATAAAATTAATATGAACCAAATAAATTGTATTGGATCCAAATAAAATCGATTCGGACAAAAAAAATTGATTTGAACCAAATGAAATGAATTTGAATCAAATAAAATTAATTTGAACCAAATAAAATATATTTGAACCAAATAAAATACATTCAAACCTAATAAACTTGATTCGGACAAAATAAAATAAATTTGAACCAAATATAATTTTTTTTCGACCAAATAAAGTTAATTTGAACCAAATAAAATTGATTCGGACCAAATAAAATATATTTGAACCAAATCTAATTGATTTGAACGAATTAAAACTAATTTGGATCAAATAAAACTGATTTGAATCTAATGAATTTGATTTGGATAAAAAAAATTTTTATTTTGTTCTAATCAATTTGATTTGAACAAAATAAAATCAATTTGGACCAAATAAAATTGATTCGGACCAAATAAAGTTAATTCGGACCAAATAAAATTATTTGAACCACATAAAAATGTTTTGGACCAAATAGAATTAATTTGAACCAAATAAAATACATTCGAATCAAATAAACTTGATTCGGATCAAATAAAGTTAATTCTGACCAAATAAAATAAATTTGATCCAAATAAATTGTATTCGATCCAAATAAAATTGATTCGGACAAAAAAAAATTAATTTGAACCAAATGAAATGAATTTGTATCAAATAAAATTAATTTGAACCATATAAAATATAGTTGAACCAAATAAAATAGATTCGGACCAAATAAAACTATTTTGAACCAAATAAAATCGATTTGGACTAAATAAAATTAATTTGAACCAAATGAGATTTATTTAAACCAAATAAAATTAATCTAAAAAGAAATAAAATTCTTTCGAACGTTTTTACTTTGCAAGTATAGTAAAAATTGTCTGTTGATATTTATAGAATTTAAATTTAAATTTACAGAAATTTTTAAAAATTTACTGGTGAAAATTGTTCTTTCTTAAATTCGACAAAATTTGGAAATAAATGTAAAAAATATCATTGTTAATTTATTTATTTCCCGTTTCTTATTGTAAAATAAATAAATAAATTTGAACTTTCAGAACTTTTAGTTACATAAAATAAAAAAAAAAAATGAAAATTTCCCCAAAAGAACTTAGTATGTATATATGAAAAGAAATGAAACCTAAATTACTGCAACACTTTGTAAATAATATATAAATCTTATCGTATTTTAGAAGAGTTTTCACCGCGATCTATTTTGAGGAGAAAACAAGAGTATATTCGAAAAATTTACCCAGAGTTTCGTGCACTTTATATATACATATAGTTTTTGATCTCGAGACTTGTTGGCGCCGGAAGCACGCGTAATCGAGACCTTGGTTCACTATCGACTAAATTTTGACTCTCGCGTTTTCCTGGGTTTTGCAATTTTTGTTCGTTCTTTTTTTTTCTTTTTTTTTTCTTTTACAATTTTCGGTACAAAAATTCTCACCGACTGTTTCTCGTCACGTTTATTGTGTGTCACAATTTTAAAATGTTTCTTTTTTATTTTTTATTCAATCATACACTGTTTTTTTTTTATTTATTAAATTTTCTAAACTAAGGAAACTTTCAAAGTGAATTAATATTGTTTTCAATTTTTATTCTTTGAAAAAATTTTCCAATGTTAGTGAATTTTTTTTTTTAGTGGTGAATTTTATTTGTTTGGGAAATTTTACGAAAATACCTTTTTCGCATGGAGAGAGAAAAAAAATATTGATTGAGAATTCAATATTTAGAAAAGAAATTAAAAAATAAAATTAATTAATAAAAATGTGATGGAAAATAATTTCAAGAAAATTTTATAATTTTTTGGTACATTTGTAGCAAAAAATTATAAAATTTTCTTGAAATTATTTTCTTCACTAAATTCGTCCATAGTCGTATTTTTTAAAACTCTGGCTTTTCATTTTTCCCTCATTTTCACACGATTTAGTCATGTTATTTTTTTTTTTTTTTGAAGTTTCTATTTGATCACATCCTTCCGCATGCATTTTCTAAGTCTCTTCTTCACGTCGTCGATATAATTTGCATAAACTTTCTTCTCCTTTTTTTTACCCCATTTTTTTTCTCTCTACAGTATAACTCTTGTTTATAGGGCAATATAAATTTTTCCCCTTTCATTCACACCTATATTCTGGTTTGAATGTTTTTTTTTCTTTTCTCTTTATTTTTTTTATTGTCTCTTAAACCACCATTTATTTTATTTTGATTTTTATTATTATCATCATCAACTTTATTGCATCACCTTATGAATTATATAATAATGTTCACGTCTCATCTTTTGTGCAACATTTTTTTGTCGTAAATTTTCTTCTCATATATTAATTCCACGATTCTTGTGACACGGTGAAAAATTTCTTTTCTTTCACTCGTTATTCACCATTTGTGATAAATTTTACCCTGTCCTTTTTTTTCTCGCACTCACTCATTTATCTCTTTGCCAAAAATTTTTGTTGCCACTTTTCATTTTCTTTCACTCGTTTTTGTGTGACGCTTTTTGATGAATAATTCTTTCTTTTAATTATTGTTGGAAAATTTTTTTTTTGATTAATGATTCGTGTTCTTTTTGGGGAATAATTTTTTTATTTGGAAATTGTTTTATTTGAAAATTATATTTTATTTAGAAATTATTTTCACTGAAAATTATTTTAATTGGAAATTATTTTCACTGAAAATTATTTTATTTTGGAAATTATTTTCACTGAAAATTATTTTATTTGGAAATTATTTTAATTGAGAATTATTTTATTTGAAAATTATTTTATTTGCAAATTATTTTCACTGAAATTATTCTATTTGGAAATTATTTTATTTGGAAATTATTTTATTTAAAAATTATTTTATTTGGATTCTATTTGAAAATTATTTTATTTGGAAATTATTTTCATTGAAAATTATTTTATTTGGGAATTAATTTAAATTTAATTAAGTATTATTTTATTTGGAAATTATTTTATTTGGAAATTATTTTCACTGAAAATTATTTTATTTGGAAATTATTTTCACTGAAAATTATTTTATTTGGAAATTATTTTATTTGGAAATTATTTTAATTGAGAATTATTTTATTTGGAAATTATTTCATTTGGAAATTATTTTAATTGAAAATTATTTTATTTGGAAATTATTTCATTTGGAAATTATTTTAATTGAAAATTATTTTATTTGGAAATTATTTTAAATTTAATTGAGTATTATTTTATTTAAAAATTATTTTATTTGGAAATTATTCTATTTGAAAATTATTTTATTTGGAAATTATTTTAAATTTAATTGAGTATTATTTTATTTTGGAAATTATTTTCACTGAAAATTATTTTATTTGGAAATTATTTTATTTGGAAATAATTTTATTTGGAAATAATTTTATTTGGAAATTATTCTATTTGAAAATTATTTTGTTTGGAAATTATTTTCACTTAAAATTATTTTATTTGGAAATTATTTTATTTGGAAATTATTTTATTTGGAAATAATTTTATTTGGAAATAATTTTATTTGGAAATTATTCTATTTGAAAATTATTTTGTTTGGAAATTATTTTCACTGAAAATTATTTTATTTGAAAATTATTTTTGAAGCTTTTTATCAAGTTAATCGTGACGAGAGTTTTTT